AAATGTTGACTACCGCACCAGTGTTAACCTTACCAAATATGAATGATCCTTTTGTGGTATATTGTGATGCGTCTAAAATGGGATTAGGCAGTGTTTTGATGCAAGATGGCAAGGTTGTGGCTTACGCTTCACGACAATTGAGGATTCATGAAAGAAATTATCCTATTCATGATCTTGAGTTGGCGGCAGTGGTTTTTGCGTTAAAGGTTTGGAGATATTATTTGTACGGGTCGAGATTTGAAGTGTTCAGTGACCATAAGAGTTTGAAATATCTGTTTGACCAGAAGGAATTAAATATGAGGCAACGAAGATGGCTGAAATTTCTTAAAGACTATGACTTTAGCTTGAGTTACCATCCCGATAAAGCTAACATCGTGGCAGATGCTTTGAGTCGGAAGACGTTTCATATATCGATGTTGATGATTAGGGAATTGGATTTGATTGAGCAGTTTAGAGACTTTAGTATGGTTTATGAGTTAACTTCGGAAAGTGTAATGTTGGGGATGCTGAAAGTGAATAATGAGTTCCTTCATGAAATAAGAAAAGGTCAGAAACTAGATTTAAAATTGGTAGACTTGATGACCGTAGGCGGAACGGATAAGAAAGAAGACTTTAAAGTAGATGAGTCTGGCATGTTGAAGTTCAGAGACAGAATTTTAGTGCCAGATAATCCTGATTTGAAAAAGGTAATTTTGCAAGAAAGTCACAGGAGTAGCTTGAGTATTCATCCAGGAGCTACGAAAATGTATCAAGACCTGAAGAAATTATTTTGGTGGCCAGGTATGAAGAAAGACATAACTCGGTTTGTGTATGCTTGTTTGACTTGTCAGAAGCCAAAGGTGGAACACCAGAAACCATCCGGTTTGATGCAACCGATAGAAATACCGGAGTGGAAATGGGATAGTATTGCAATGGATTTTGTGACTGGATTGCCGAATACGGTGAGAGGTTTTGATGCAATTTGGGTAATTGTAGATAGATTGACAAAGTCGGCGCATTTTATAACGATTAACATCAGTTTTCCCTTGACGAAGTTAGCAGAAATTTATATCAGAGTGATAGTGAAGTTACACGGGGTTCTGTCGAGCATTGTATCTGACAGAGACCCGAGGTTTACTTCTGGATTTTGGAAAAGCTTGCAAGAAGCTTTGGGTTCCAGTTTGAAATTGAGTTCTACCTATCACCCGCAAATCGATGGTCAATCTGAGAGGACTATTCAGTCATTAGAAGATTTGTTGAGAGCTTGTATACTCGAGCGAGGAGGCGCTTGGGATACTCATTTACCACTAACTGAATTTACTTATAACAACAGTTATCATTCTAGTATTAGAATGGCACCTTTTGAAGCATTGTATGGTAGAAGGTGTAGGACACCTCTATGTTGGTATGAGTCGGGCGACAGTACGGTACTCGAACCCGAGATTGTGCAACAGACCACCGAGATAATCCAGATGATTAGGGAGAAAATGAAGATGGCCCAGAGTAGGAAGCAAAGCTACCATGATAATAGGAGGAAAGACTTGGAATTCAACGAGGGTGACCATGTATTTCTTAGAGTCAATTCGGTGACCGGTGTTGGTCGCGCGTTTAAATCAAAGAAATTGGATCATAAGTTCATTGGACCGTATTATATTCTACAAAGGGCTGGGGTTTTTTCCACCCGAACGTTCGAATTTACATGACGTGTTTCATGTATCGCAACTTCGAAAGTATGTTGCTGATTCATCTCATGTGCTTCAGAGAGATGAAGTGCAAGTTCGAGATAACCTTACGATGGAGGTGATACCGTTGAGGATCGAAGACCGCAAGGTGAAACAACTAAGAGGGAAAGATATCCCGTTGGTGAGAGTAGCTTGGGGAGAAGCTGCTGGAGGAAGTGTGACCTGGGAATTGGAGAGCGAGATGCGAGAGTCGTATTCGGAATTGTTCTCATTAGGTACATTTTCGAGGACGAAAATATTTTATGTGGAGGAGAGTTGTAACACCCCATTTAAACTATTTATTCGTTTTATACTTTATTGTCGTGTATTTGTTGTGATGTCCTCAATTAAGGGTATGAGGTTAGGAGCGAGAGTGAGAGCTGACCTTAATTGGGGTAATGTGGATCTAGAATAAGGGATAATTTAATAACAAGATTAGAAGCATTATGATTATTAATATTATTATTTCATTTATTATTAATAATAATATTAATAGGATTATGGTTATTATTATTGTTATTATTAATATTATTATTATTATTAGTAATTAAATTAAATGAATTAAAATTTGATTAAGGGGTTAAGAGAGAGTTAGTGGAGGAATTAGTCAGTTAACACGTAAAAGAGGAAAAAGGCAGAGAAAGGAGAGCTAGGGCAAAAAAGAACTAATTATCCATTGTTGTCAAGGAAAAAGCTTCAATCCAAGGTAAGGGGGAGAATGGATTTCAATATGGGTGAATTAACATGAGAGAGTAGTGAGAGGTCCTTTCGCTTGTAGGAATTTATGTTTGTTCGTGTTTATTGGTCTGATTTCGTAACTTTGTGATGTTTCTGGTGAATACTGTCATTGCTGAAAATTTCTGGTCTGGTATTGGATGAACGAATCTAAAACTAATCTAAAATTCGTGTGAAAAATTATGAACATTGTGGTGAAATTATGGCAGATGTTAGATCTAAGAATTAAGGGTTTAACAGTAATCGAAATTAGATCTAATAAATAGAATCTTGAAAGAATAGAAGATAGGATTCATTGGAATCGATTAAAATCAGAGTTTGAGGATGAATGGGAAGATAGAATGATGAATCTTGAGTAGAAACTCGTGAGAATGATGAGATATGAGTTTTTTGACAGATATGCTGATCATACGCGTGTTGGAGGTGTCAATACGCGTATGCGGGACTTCCCAAGGGGTTGTACGCGTAGCAGACGTGCCCTGTCCCCAGTGCCAGCACAGCCATCTGGTGATACGCGTATGGGCCTGGGCAATACGCATATGGGAGTAGTCATACGCATATGGAGTGACCCTGAGGGATTTTGGGAGGTGAATGCCTCTAGTCATACGCGTAAGGTAGGTCTAATACGCGTATGACAGCAGGCATTATGCGTATGGACCATGTTGGTACGCGTATGGGCAGCCTGGGGTGACTTTTCCCCAATTTTTGTGATTTCTGTCTAGATTTCTCTTGGAACGCAATTCCGTTTAATCGGTAGGATTAATATGACTAAAATGAACTTAAGGAAGATTAGTAATGAATTAAATAGAGAGAACGTGGAATGTTATGTGTGTGCCTTTATGGGTGGGTTGTGATCAGTCTGAGCCATGATTATCGAATGTGAATAATCTTGTGAGATTGTGGTAATTCTCGAGAGGATTACGGAGAGCGGATGGCTCGTGTGGATTATTGATGATCGTGAATTATGCTTGAATCATTATATTGCATAATTGTGTTGTCATGTATTTCATGTCATGTGTCTTGTGGAGATGGCTAGGTGGGAATCCATGATGGATGCTTAGTTTCATCCGGACTTCATCTGGAAGTTGTTGTGGAGATAAGTTGTAGTTCAGAGGAACATATACGACCTATCCGGATTTCGACGGGAATCGGGTTCTAGGGTGAACCGTATGTATTTGTGTTGGTACCACATGCATTGTGTCGAGTCAGTGGGTCACATTGCATATTTGTATTTGAATGTGGGCTATTGATGTCGAGTGATTGAGGTGGCATGTGTATGTGCGTTGTATGTGTATGATTGTATGTGTGGTGTGTAACTACTCCTTAACATGTGTATTTTACCGCTTATTTATTGAATGTAGTTCTCACCCCTTTTCTGTTTGTTGCGTCAGTGCTCCTTGGGGATGCAGATGACCAGGTACCTGAGTAGTGCTTGGAGTGTGTTGCTATTTGATCGAGTCCTAGGAGTCGCTCTGATACGTAACATGGGATGACAGGATTACGTTATATTTTGCTTATTTTCTTGATTAATTGTTACGTATCTTTTATTTGTTGGATTAAGGATGTATGATCACCTTGTGGTGGAGATTATGTTTAAACAATTGACTTTATTCCGTTGTTTAATTGGAAGCTAGATATCATTGGTTTAATTATGAAAACTGAAGTGACTTAGTGTGACATCCTACTTGTATGAGAACTCTGATGTACTTTTATGAAATATTTCCGTATATATTTTATAATACGCGTACGGGATAGAGTGAGGTGTTACACTAAACACCCTTCTACGATGTATTAGGAAAAAGAGAGAGAAGTAAAGAGAAAATTGAGAGAGGTGTGATAAAATGAGACTATTAAACTATACATTAATGCCATAATATTTAGAAAAAACAATTTATTTATTTATAACAATTCACTTATTAAGAAAAATAACTAATACTTTTATTTTTATGAAATTATAATTGTTTATTTATTTTTAAATTTAAAAAAGGGAAAATTATTATTATTAAAAAGGGAATATTGTTATAGGAAAAGGGGAAAATTATTATTATTAAAAAGGGAATATTGTTATAGGAAAAGAGAAAAATTATTATTATTAAAAAGGGAATATTGTTATAGGAAAAGAGAAAAATTATTATTATTAAAAAGGGAATATTATTATAATTATTATTTCTTGTTTTATTTGTAAATTTGCATTTTTTTGTTAAATTTTTATTGAGAAATAATAGTCTTAATAGGATATTTATACAATACAATTACATACATAGTTTATTTAGTACAATTATAAAATATTATAACATGATATTCATTAATAAATATTTATTCTACGCATACAGTTACTAGTATTATTGATATTAATTAATAAATATTTTATAATTTCGTATAAAGTTATTAATAGTAATATCTATATCAAAATTATATATTTCCAGTCAAATGGATAAGTATTAGGAAGATTCATTGAATTATCCACTAAATTCATTCATAAAAATTATTTATATAGCTTGTGCCTGTAAATTGAACTTCAATCAAAACTATCACTACTTTGCAAACATTTCTGAACCAATTCTAATGGCAACAATCACCTCTCCTAGCCTTCCCTTTTGCCCTCCACCAAAGGACCAAAAAGGTGAAAACAAGGTAGAATTTTTCGACTTCACGTCACTGGCAAAAGAAGGAAAAGTACCAAAAGAGTTCATTTGGCCTACTGAGAATTGGGTCAAAAGCAGTGGAGAAAACATAGAACTACCACTCATTGACATAGGTCTTATCAAGAGTGATGAATCAGCAATGGCCAAAGCCGCAGAGATGGTGAGAGAGGCATGCATTAAACACGGTGCCTTTGAAGTCACTAACATTGGTGTGGACGTAGATTTCAACGATCTCGTTCTTCGAGAAACCGGCAACATTTTCAAGCTTCCGTTGGACAAGAAAATCAGTGCTATAGCTAAGGATTCTGGTTTCTCGGTTGCTCATGCAGAGAGGTATACCACTGTTTTGCCATGGAAAGAGACGTTCACTTTCATGTACAATCACAACAGCAAAAATGAGACACAGGTTATTGATGTTGTTGATTCTCTCTTAGGTCAAGATTTTCAACAAACTGGGTAAGAACGAAGCACTAAGAACCTCACTCCATGAAGCTCTATATTTTTTGTTTTGAAAAATAGGTTTATTGTTTATATTCTGTATAGGTTGGTGTATCAGAAATACTGTGATGCAATGAATGAGTTAACTAAGGTGCTTTTGGAGCTATTGGCTATTAGTTTGGATGTGGATCGTAAGCATTACTCAAGCTTTTTTGAAGATGCTGTGTCAATGATGAGATGCAACTTTTATCCACCTTGCAGTGCTAATCTTAGTGGTGCACTTGGAAATGGCCCTCATTGTGATCCAATCTCTCTCACTCTTCTCCTTCAAGATCAAGTTGGAGGGTTAGAAGTTTTTGCAGACAACAAATGGCTCGCTGTTCCCCCAAAACCCAACACTTTTGTCATCAACATAGGTGACACTTTCATGGTACGTATATTTTCATAGTCGGAAGGAACATGCATTTACACATTCAAGATCTGATGTCTCAAATGCGTGAATGTGTGTTCCTTGACTACATGGAACCGGTTCTATATTTTTGTGGATGTAAACTTGGTGATTATGTGTTTGTTGATTGTTTTAGGCATTGACGAATGGATTGTACAAGAGTTGTCTCCATAGGGTTTTTGTTAGCAACAAGGTGGAGAGGAAGTCTTTGACTTTCTTTGTGAATCCAAGAGGAGACAAAACTGTGAGTCCTCCTGATGAGCTTTTGGGAAAAGAAGAGTCAAGAAAATACCCTGATTACACATGGAATGAACTATATCAGTTTACACAAAAGACTCGAAGAGTTGATGCTCACACACTTGACAGTTTTGTTGCTTGGAGAAGCTCTTCGGATGCATCCAACTGATATTTGAGGCTAATTATGAATAGACAATAAGACTTGTTGTATCAATCATAGTTCAATATGGTTTGTATAATGGTCAATTAATAAATGGTGTGCCTTGGTTATATGTCACCATCTTATACTATTTTCTCGAGTACTATAGGAAAACAGTGGGTTTCAATTTTCATGGTAATCATATTGAATGGATTGTGATGAACACAAAATAAAGGAATACGTTTTTCTTAGAATTATGTTATATTGTATTTATCAATGGAATTTGTTATATATTATCTGGAAAAAAAATTGAATAACAAGTGTTTTGGGTTGGGTTGGGTTGAAAAGGTAGAAGTTCAATCTTCAGCCTGATCACTCCACTGAAATATTAAGAGTACAGAGCAACCCTACAATGGGCCTCCACACTGGATCAAGTTGGAGGGTGTTGCACCCTAAAATTTGACCAAATTGTTTAACCTGATTTGTGTTTTCGTAGCTTTATCATTTGCATAGTAGATCATATACATAGTTCATTCATTTGCATAGCATAGCATGGGCCAGCCATCCAACAAGGGATCAAGTGCCATTTTCATCTCAAGAAGCATATCCAAAAGGTTTTTATTCAAGTTCAAGAGTATCCAAGTCACCAGGAAAGAAAGTGAAGCTTTGAGAGGTTAGCAGTGGATTTCTCTCCTATCTTTAGGGTATTTGAAGATCATCAAAGAGGTTATGAGCTATGAACTGAGGCATGGAATGTGTATAGATGTCATGGAAGACCTAGAAGGTCATTTTGAAGAAGAGACCAGTCATTGGTGTGATTACAAGAGCTGCAGTTGAAGACAGTCAACTAGGGTTTCATCTAGGTCAACCCTAGGTTAACCCTAGGTCAAATGCTTGATTGAAGGGCATCAAGGCCTATTTGAAGAATGTGGAATTCATCATTTGATGTATGGATATAGATGGGGTGTTGTGCCAAGGAGAAATCAAAAGAAATCAAAGAGAAGAGAAGTTTCTAAATTAGGGTTTCAGTGTAAAATCCCCTGATTTAGGGCAAACTTCCAAGCAAAATAATTCCAAATACAAGTCTCAAATGGATCTTTGGCCAACATGAAACTTGTAGAGCATCTCAAGACCTTTAATTTGAGTTGTGGAAGTCATCAATTATATTTATAGAACTCAAGTTATGGTTCTTGCAAGTTACAGGTCATCTGAGGACACTGAAATTTATCTATGAAAGTTACTTGACTTCCAAGCAACTTTTTCCCCACAAGGAGTTTTCAAATGGATTTTTAGTGAACATGAAAGTTGTTCCTCATGATCTTAGCTTTCCAAAAAGGTATGGTATGCCTCATTCTGATTTGAGGAGCTCTACTTATGATCTTGGCAAGCCAGGGGTATTTTGGGAAAGTAAGATTATAGGTCATTTCAAGCATGTGCCTAAAACTCCTACTTGCAAACTTCAAATGAAAAAATGTTCAACATCAAACTTGCTCAAAATGATTTTTTGAGTCCAAGTAAGTTATCATGGTAACTTGGAAATGTATGGAACTCAAAATGATAAAATTGACCAAATATGGAAGGTAAAAGTCCATTTTCAAGTGACCAAATTTGGGATTTTTTGATCCAAAGGCAAAATGCATCATATGACCTATCAAACTGAATGGAAAACACATTTTGAGATCATTGGAATCATTAGATTTTTCATTTGAGGTCAAATTGAGGGACTTATCATTAGTTGCTTGTAATTGAAGTTACACTTGCCAAATGAACAAGGGATCAAGGCACAAGCTAGCAAGCCATTCCAACACATTCTATTTCTCATTTGGAGAGAATTTCAGGTCTTATACAAGTGTTGTAACAGAGCAAGCTTCAACCGGTTTTTGATCTCACCAATTTCAAAATATCATGACATGAGATTTGCATTTTCTCCTTGGATCATTCCAGTCAGTTCTAGAAGCTTCCAACCCCATCTATAAAGTCATTTGGGTTGATCAGAATCAGGGTTGGGCTTTATTTGGTGCAGAGAATAGAGATTGAACTTCACATTCATCCATTGCAACTTACTTTCGAATTCTTCATTTTCTTCATAATCAATTCAATTTCTTGATTCCTTTCAATTCTATTACTATCACTGAGTGTGTATCAATCAAAATCAGAAGGAATTCATGCTGAAATCGTGTTCTTGAAGTTTCATTATCACACCTGCAACTGAAATTCGGTTTCAATGATCCAAGCTGTTTGGAGAAGATCTAGTGCATACAGAAGCCAGAATACATCACACTGAAGGAATCTGGAGATTTATAAGCCTTGATTTGAAGCTTTTCATCATCTGTTTTCTTCATTTGCACAGGTTAGTAAAATTCAAACTATGGCTCGATTTAGGTATAGTTAGCATTGATCTTTAGGATAGATGATTAGTATGTGGCTAGGTGGATCTTTCTGGAGAGTTTGAAGCAATTTGGTGATAATTGACATGCGGACACATTTTCTGTTCGAATTAAGAACATGCTGGATTTGGAGTTATAGACTTAGTGTAATGGTTAGAAATGATCAGTGTTGAGTGAGGAAGAGATTAGACATGATAATTTGATGAATGATGACAATTGATGTTAGATCAAATTTTGGAGTGAGATGCGTGTTTTGAGTTACAAGCTGTTTCAATTGATTTCAAGGCCATCGCTAGAACCAGGGAAGAAAATAGAGCATGTTAGGGTTTTACAATTCGCGTTTTGATCAATAATTGATGATGCACGAGTAGCTGCAGATTGTGTTCATAAGCTTGTTCTTCCATGGAGTTTGGCTCCAAAGTCTGTTTGAATGAAGGAGATGAATTATTGGCCTTTGGATCAGAGTGGACTTTTGACTGAAAGTTGGATCGTGTGGCTTAGATCGCGTTTCAGTTTGTGAAGGGCTTGCTGAGATTGAAACGCGCCGTTTCATTAAGTGTAGATGCTATGGGCTTAAGCTTGTTTTTTGCTATCCTCACCCCATTTCGTGGCCCAGTGAAATTGGCACTACATTTGTATGTTATATGCACCGTGGATTTCTCTGTTTTCGTTACTATATTTTAGTTGATTTTTGATAATGTTATGGGCTTAAATGAATTGATAAGAACACCCCCTGTTGACAAGCCCACTAGAATAACACTGAATTCGCTTGCTTCCTGCACCGTTGGTTTTCCTTTTTCTTTACTATTTTCATTTGATTTTTTGAAGCTTGATGGGCCTAATGCGCTTGGCTATGCGCACCTCCTGTTTTGGCCCATTTGATTTACACGTTGATCATAATTGCTATTCAGCACCAGCTTTTATCATTTTAATTCATTTTCTTCATTTTTCTTTGCAACTTTATAAAATCCTAAAAAATTGGAAGATAATCTTTTTGACCTGAGAATTTTTGCAACACTTTAATAATGGTTTCAAGAAAATTATAGATAAATAAAAATATTAGTTTAGGTATTTTCTTTACTTTTTGTGAATATTTTGCTTTTAATACTTTTTATTGCATTTTGTTTGTATAGTCAATTTGTAGATTTTTGTTTAGCTAGTTCCCTTTATTTTTTTAGGCCATTCTTTTTAGGGAAATTAGATATAAGCTTTAGTTCCCCCCTGGATTTATTCCATAATTTTAGAATTAGGTTTTGATTAGTTTTGATTAAATGATATTAGGATAGTTAGATTAGAGTTTATACACAACATAGGTGCACTAAAACATTTTATTTTGGGGTTTTTAGTGTGAATTAGGATATGGGACCTATGGGGTATATAGGGTAGATATAGGATCTCCCTTAGAATTAATATTAGACTTGTAAATACTATTTTACTATTTTTAGTATATTTTACAAATTGTGTGATTGTTTGGTGTTCCCATTTGGGGTTTAATTTTGTTGTGTGGGCTTTTTGGGCTTTTGCTTGGGGTGTGGGCTTAGTTAGAGCTTGTGGAAGCATGAAAAAACAATAGAGAAGATTGAAGATGTTAATCAAGGTTGAAGCATGAAGATTGCTTGGATTGAAGATGTTTTGAAGACATAGGAAATAATAGAAATAGGAATAAGCAGAGCCTTAGAATAGACTGAATTGTTTTGTACAAACATGGATAGCTTCCTGTGCTTCCATTCCTCTCTATGACATAAAGTCCCTTTAGGGTATTCACCTCCCTCCTTTGGAGGGATAAGTGGCCTTACCTTAGAGGTAGAACTTTGAGGGAAACAGTCTGTTACAATGTCAACTGTTTATAGACTTCCTTTGGTTGTCAATGAACTGTTTGACATTCAACTTATCCTGATAAATCAATTCTCATCTGGGAGAGCTTGTCTTGAAGAAAGAAGCCATTGAAGATAGAGATGAAGATCAAAGATTGACAAAGATGAAGATTGTTCATGTCAAAGCTGTGCCACTGTTAAAGCTAGGGTTTACTGCTGTCTGAGGCTATCTGTTGTCTGATGCTATCAACTGGTTAATGCTTGCTTGAGCTGGGTGATTTCTTGGAGATAGAAGCTTGTTGTGGCTTGGGTACCATTGGAGTTTGATTTTGGAAGTTCAACTGAAGCTGAAGTGCTGTCAGGGCTGGTTTTGGGGTTTCATTTTCTGTGCTGTATTGTTTGTTAATTTTCCCCTTGAGGTTGAGGTGAAGTTGTTTCACTTTGCTCATTGTTTTCTAGGTTCGAGGTTGAGTGGAACTCCCTTGCCTCGCTTGTACTGCTGCATTCATGCATTTTACCGCTTTACTGTATATATGCTGTTGCTTTTCCGTTTATTCCCTTAGGATCTCTGTTTCTCTCTGCGCAAGAGAGAAATATGACAGACATTAGGCTCTCATCCATGCATGCCAACATTAGGGTAGATTTGGATTCCCTTTTCAACCATAGGTTTTAGAGTTGCTGTTTCTTTTCTTTCTAAAAACAATCAAAAAACACAATAAACATTTCAAACACCATAAAAAAACAATTCTTGCGTAAAAGACTGTAAACCAATCAAAGCGTCATTTTTGTCCGCTTGGACCCATAATCAGGAGAAAACCTTTTTTAGAAG